TTTAGAAATGGTATCTGTATCACTTTGGCTAAGAACTTTTTGTTTCGTTTTGTCCTCTAACAAAGAAGTAAGATGCTTGAAGAACTGTTAAAAAGGGCAGAGGCTCTGTGCCCATGCTCTACCAGTCTCCTAACTGCTGCAAATTTTGAATGGCATGATTTCTTATGCCATGGTTTTGTTAGAAAAAAAAAATTCTTCATTATATAAAATAATGTTGAACTAGAGTGGATTTCATTAATGAATAATTGTACATTAAGTGCTTTGCAGACCAAAAATACTCTGTGCTTGATTTTTATACAAATAATACCAAAATATTAAAGCATGTGTTTTGTAATTTTTTAGTAAATTTCTCTCATTAAAAAAATGTTATCAGTCAAACAATAGTGTGTCATTCATCTCTTTAAAGTTGTTTAATTGTCAAGATAAAGTTGAAATGCTTTAACCTGGAGTATAAATCTGGATTTTATAGATAAACAGGACCAAGAGCAGATAGATAGATAGATAGATAGATAGATAGAGATTTAATATAAAGAATTGGCTTATACAGTAATGAAGTCTGACATGGCAAAATCTAAAGTTGGCAATCTAGACACACAGGAGATGTGATGGTGTAGTTCTAGTAAGTGTCTGAGACCTAAGAACCAGGAGATTAAATGACATATAGTTTCAATTCAAATGCCTGCAGGCTTGAGATCCAAGAGAAGCAGATGTTTTGATTTGAGTCAAAGGCAAGACAAGTCTGATGTCCCAGCACAAATGTAGTCTGGCAAAAGAAATTTCCTCTTACTGGTGGGAGGGTCAACCTTAAACTGATTGGATTAGACCCAGCCACATTATGGAGCGCAATCTGCTTTACTCAATCTACTGATTAAATGTTAATTTCAATCAGAAAAATTCTCACAGACACACTGTGAAGAATGTTTGACAAATGTCTGTGCACCCCATGACTTGGCACTCCATGATCCTGTCATGTTGATACATAAAATTAACCATCATACCCAATCATACCCAGTGTGAAAGATCTTTCATTATCTAGCCAGAACAGATCAATTTATCTTTAGTTTGTCCTATAAGTCCTCTTTCCAGCCATTCAGAGCTAGTTTTATTTCTTTAAAAGCATCTTGACAATTTATATCCATGTGTTTTTACAGCTGCTCTTCCCTCTGCTTGAGCACAATTACCCTTATCTTAAGTTGAAACCCCCAGAAGCAGACCTGCAACAAGAATTCTAGTGGGAGTCATTTATTTGAGAGCTGATCCCAGGGAATACCATCAGAAGAGTGGAGAAGCAAGATAAGAAAGTGAAGGAAAGCAGTAAGGTTAAGTTATAAATACATTACCACTGGACCACCAGGGCTCATTTCCATGGCCAGGAAGGAGGATACTCTTGAACATTGTATAGAATATGCTTCTGAATTAGCCCACCCGAGAAGCAAGGGGGCTGGAGTACCTATATGCAGATCTTGTCAGTCATTTATGAAAGAATGCCCTCTGGGGCTTGTAAATTCTCTGATGTTTCTCAAGTGGGCTCAAGGGACACAGAGAAAGCCCTCAGGCTAAGAGACCCAGGGGCTGGTGGCTGAATGTCAGGCTGGCAATTCCTGAACTGTCAGGGAACAAGGCGGAGTAGGCAGGGCATCCAGATCTTCTGGGAATTTACTGCAGCTTTTTTCCCCTAGCCCATTCTCACCCTTTAGGATTCAGCCTCCCTCTTCTGGAAGCCTTCACAGACTTTCTCTCTTACTTAGCTGCCACCTGTCTGTTTCCCAGTGGAATCTCTGCTTACCTGCACCAGAGAATGTGTTACTTCCTCTTTCTGTGGTTTCAGTTTCCTATATCACCTACTTCTTTGTGAGCTCTTTGAAGGAAAGGATTGTCAACCCATTTCCTCAGGGCCTTGCATAGTTCTAGCTCATGGTGGTGTTCAATAAATGGTTGTTTAAGTAATAAGAGCAGTACAACAATGACATCTTAACAGTGATAGCCAGTATTTATTAAATGCTCTTTTATGTAAGCACTGTATATGTATTGCCAACTCTAGAAGATTAGTACTATTATTAGTAGTACTATTTTTATTACTATTACTTTTTTCCTGGAGTTAAGGTATAGTTTACATAATTTGCCCAATATTACATAGCTATATATAGCTGAGCCTGGAAGTAAAGCCAAATAGTCTGAGTCCAGATCCTGGATGTACTCTTAACTACTGTATGAAAAAATGAGTGAATGAGTGCAATGAATGAGTGAGTAAATGAATGAATGAATGAAAACACCAAGTCTGATTCTTCAACTCAGGGGGTAATTCTAGGGATGATGCTGTCAGCACAGTCTATAAAGTTCGAATATCTTCTCTAATGTCACATTTTCTAAGAACTGTTTCTAGTCCACTAGAAGCATCCATCCCTTCTTAGACACCGTTTGTAATGACACTGACAACTCTCTACCATATGTTCAAATTTATCTGCATGTCCTTGTTTTCTTCTCAGTGATAAGTTTTTTAGATAACTGCTTAAGAGTCTGATTCATTCATTTGTTTTATTTGTAATTAATTATTTTGTTACAGATATTTCTCCTTTTTTTCCCATTGACACCCTCCTCCCAATCCCCACCCTCTGCCCTGTCCCCAGCATTGTTGTCTGTGTCCATCGGTTACGCATACATGCATATAAGTTCTGTGGTTTATCTCTTCCCTCCTCCACCCCCCTCTTCTGAGGTTTGTGCACACAATAGACTACAAATGAGTGTTTGCCACTCATGGATACATGGGTGACAAGCAAAGGGATCTTGGACTCTTCTTTTATCTTTTCCTAGAAACTGTTGAGACTCTTTTTCACTCCACTCTGTGATTCCAGAGACGGTCATCATAGAGATTTTAGGTGATTCTGGAAATACAATTCTTTTAAAATATATTACTTTCAGGGAAGAATCTGTGAAGAGTTTACTTTGTAACATTTTGATAATTATTTAGTTAGAATTATATTTCTAAGAAACAGGTATTCTTCCTCCCAAAACTGCATTTATAGAAAGAGTGAAAGAAATAAATTGTATAGAAAATAACTAATGTTTCTAATACTTTTTAATGGAAAAAGATTTGCTTCTTTAAAAGCTAACAATGGCCATCATGAATTATCTTTCTAAAACCTCAAATGCATTTTCCATTTCCACTGACTAATACACTTCTAATCTTTATTTACAATTAACACTAAGAAGAGTGCCATATTGAGTAAATTTGGCTAAAATATCATTATATTATAAAACACATCCAGGAGGAAGTTGCAAATCCTCACTGAGTCTTCATTGTTTTCAAACCATCACATAGACACACGGAGTCCAACATGTAGGAGTGACATAGAAAATAACAGAAATTTGACTGAGTGGACATGTCTTTATTGATTCTAGTGTGTAAAATTAAGCATATTAGGTGCCAAGGAATACAAAGGAACATGAGACATGGTCTTTATCTTTGCAGAATCTAGAGATGAACATTTGGAAGACAGATATGTTAACAAGTAGCTGTAGAATGTGATGGTAATAATAGCTAATATTTAGCACTTAACAATGTTACAATAACTGTTGTAGTGCTTTATGTGGCATCATCTCATTGGATCCTTACAACTCCTTAAAGAAAACAGTACTATTATTACACTTTATAGCTGATGAACCTGAAATTCAGGAAGGTTAGACAACTTCTCCAAGATTACATGCCTAGTGAATGTTTAGGTGGAGGATCCAGGAAGCAGACCTAAACCCAAAGGTCCTTAAAGTTCTTATGCTGGTGGCAGTAAAAATAAGATACACCAAAGAGAACACTATTCATTCAAACTGGGGTCAAGCAGATGTTATGGCACCACAGCGTGGCCTTGAAGGATGAGTGTGAATAGATGGTGCAGGGCCTTTATTCCAAGACTGAGGCAGGTAGAGGAAGCTAAAGGAGATCCTGAGAAAATAGAGAAAGTCAGTGTTTTCAAGCATGTAGGTAGCATGAATGGAACAGGGATGGCAAAAACGAGAAAAGTGGTTTGAACCAGATGTCTTGGCTTTGAGTGTTACCCCAAAGAGCCTAGACTTTTCTCATTAGACAGAAAGGAGTCACTGAAAGGTTGTGAACCAAATCAAAGTTGTATTTTAAGATAGATTTGGCAGCTACATGTAGAAGGAATTGGAGTTAGGAATGGGAGGAAAAGAGGACCAGTTTGGAAACCATAATACAGGGAGGGCAAATGGCACTGATAGTCTGAATTTGGGTTGCAATATATGAGTAAAAAAGAGAAAACATGGAGACGAACAGGATGTGGCACCATCTGGATGTGAGGAATACTTAAGGATAAGAAATGACAACACAAAAGTTCAAAACAACAAATATGTCATCCAGAGTACAGAGGAGGCACACACCTTGTCCAGTTAAAGGGGGTAGCACTGGGAGATGAGATGAAGGGAGTTAGGTGGGAATGATGAAACCTGTGAGCACGTGGAAACATGTTGTTAAAGGATGGGATCTGGGTTGGTAGCAAACTAGCACTTTTCATGTTGGAGTGCAGGGATTGGTCACTGTGTTGATCTACAACCAAATGGTGATGCCCATGTTTCTGAGATACTTGAGGTGAGCATGCATATCTTTAATAAATGCAGAAAATGTGCCATTTAAAGTCTGTGGTTTATTTATTTATTTTTTAAGAATTAAAATGATTTTAGTGACCATGCATAAATTTTATAACAAAAACAAATGATTGCATATATATAGCTTGTCATAAATATATAGTACTTTTTAAAAGAAATATAAACACCAAGTGTTAAACTGTGCTCTAATGTGTATACTTCCTTTCTAATTTAGCATGATAATATAAAACAGTAAAAATGTATGATTTAGTATTCTCTTTTCCACTAAGATTTTTTTTCTTTGTTGTTGTTTTTTAATTAGTCAAATTAGAGAATTCGGGTGTTTCTAGCTTTCATATAAATTTTTCTTAGTCTTTTTCTGATTGTTTTTTTTTTTTTAATAGGTGATGGTGAAGAAGAAGATGTTGACATGAAAGAAGATTCAGGTATTGAATTTATGATTTTCATTTTAGAGGAAGGACAGGGACCATTCTGTTGATTATACATATTTTACTTTTTTTTTAAGAAAAGACAAAACAAGGTTTATAAAATCTATATTCAAGATCATAAGATAAAGTAGTTTTACTAGCTCTTATAGCAAATACAGCTACTCTGTTTAAGCATTAGACTTGACTTTGATCTTTCTGACTACTAAGGTAAAAAAGTGAAACATAAGGTTGTAGTTAATAGATTTGTGTAACAAATCACCCCCAAAACTCTGTGGCTAAAACACCCACTTATTGTGCTTATGCATTCTATGGGTCAAGAATTCATACAGAACATAGCAAGAATGACTTTATAAACCTGCTTCACAAGGCCTGAGGCCTCAGCAGAAAAACTCAACACCTTGGGGCTAAAATCATCTGAAGATTTCCTGACTCACATAACTGGCTGGCCATTCATATTGGCTATCAGCTGAAACCTAAGCTGGGACAGTTTTCTAAAACACCTATGCATGGCCTCTTTATGTGGTCTTGGCTTCCTCAGAGCATAGCTGCCAGGTTCCAGAGTGGTTTCTCTAAAGAGAGTGAGCAAGCCAGAGGGAGCTTAGCCCTTTACAGGACTCAGCCTCAGAGGTACCACAGCATCAGTTCTACTGAACTCTTTTCTTAGAAACAGTCAGTCAAGCCTACCCAAGCTTAGGGGAAGAAAAAACAGATTCAACCTCCTGATGGAGAGCTGTGAGGTTCTGCAAAGTATGTAGGACCTAAAATATTTCTGTGGCCATATTTAGAAAATATGTTTTGTACATATACTATATTACTCTCATTACCAGAAATTAAGATGCCTGCCAACACCTCGAGAAAGACTAGTGTTTGATGAGAGAAATCTAGTGGCTGAAAGCATAGACTCTGGACTGAGGTAGCGACCCAATCTGTGCCTGATAATGAACGCATGAATCAATAGGCCCGAATTGAATTCTAGCTCCATCACTTTTTTACTTTGGGCATGAGGTGGTGTTGTTGTTTTTCCCTATACCTTCAGTTTACACCACTAAGAGCACTCACTCACTGTACAGTCTTGCTTGAGGGACTAAATTATATCAAACCCGAAATGTTTCTTTGACCATAATAAACATTCAATGAATTATTGTGTTTTCTTTAATTCTCTACAACTTAATTCTATAGTATAAGTTCCCAGTGTCACTTACTATACTACTCTGGGCATGAAATAAGGCCGGGTTTCAAAATTAAAATAGGTAACTTAGAGGTCTTTATTTTGTGTAACCTCCTTTTCAACTTCAGAACTCTCTATAAATTACTGGCAACTTTAGTCTGAGCAGCTCCATTAACTAGGAACTCTCAATTCTGAGGCAACCAATCTCATTAGGTGAAGTTTGGTTAAAATTGTCCTTCCCCTTGTTAAATTAAATTTATCTCCCTCTCCTGACCTCTCACTATCTTCACAGAGAAATAATACCAGTTCCTTTTTTCATAACAGTTCATTAGAACAATGATTGTTCCTTCTATCTACCTTCATCAGTCTGAACACCTCTGATTTCTAAAGTTCCCTTGGTTTCCCCAGGGCAATAGATTGAGAGGGCATGCAAAGCAGAGTGAGGACCTAGGCGTCAGGAGCAGGAATGAAGGGGGCGGAAGAGGGATGGTAGCAGCAGCTGTCAGTTGTTTACCTGTGTCCCCTTGGCACTCTCTGTCACTTTACAACATCAACAGCTTTCTGAGGAAAGTTTTTGTGACTCTCAGCTGAGGGCTTTTCTCTGGTTATAAAAGCAAATTCAAATACCAGGAGGTTAATTTCTCTGGAGCAGCCCTCAACCAAGGATGTACACAGGTTGCTCAGTACCCATGAAGGGCTTATTGAAGGCATGTTCTACTTAAGCAGTATTCTATAGAAATATATAGTGAGCCTCATGTATAATTTCACTTTTTCTAGTAGTCACATTGAAATAAGTAAAACCAAGAGGATTTAATTGAATATTTTAATAATATTTATATAAGGAAAATATCATTTAACATAAAAATTATTAGTCAGATACTTTACTTTTTTTTATACTATTTTTTAAATTTACATTTTATATTCACATCTCAATTCAGAGTAGCCTCATTTTAAGTACTCATGGGCAGTATGTGGTGTTGGACAGCAAGACTCTATATTATTGCTTAGAGGTTACCCAGGACAACTGAGCCCCAAGAGTCTACTGTGGCACCTGCTCATTAGCCCACCCAGTATTGGCTGCCTTCTCCTTCCTGTCTCACTTCCCTACTCCCCTCTGGTGTTCCTGGGATAATCTCTCAAATTAAGTATTAGCATTCAAACCTTTGTCTCAGGGTCTATTTCTGAGACAATCCAAGCTAAGACAGGACTCTGCTTGTCTTTTGCAAAACAAAAAGTCCAAGATAAAATTTCAATTAAAATGTCAATTCCCATACCCATGTAGGATGTTTCATTATTTAAAGCAACCATATGTTGAAAAAAGACTTTAAGTGGTCACCTTGTCTTGGATTACATTCATGAATTTAATGTTAATGTTTGCTATTCTCATTTAGCCTGCTCACATAAAGTATCCTTGGAAAATCCTTCAACTGTGGGGAGTACTGCCCTTTCAGCTAGCCAGCATAAGGACCTTGTCTTGCTAAGGATCATTTGTCTAGGTGCCATAAGTACACATTTCTAGGAAAAGGGAGTTGGCTTCTTAATGAGATGCAGCTAGCTATCCAAACCACTGAGTGATGTTTGAGGAGCTCATTATTAATGCTAATGCAGAACTCGCTAATGCAGAACCCACGGAGTTGGAGTCAGCATTTGCATTATGGGGACCTTATTTGGAACATCATTTCTGATTTTAGTTCCACCAGGCTTCCTGGGGGTTTTGTCTCCAGCAGCTGATGCAGCTGTTGAAGTCACACTCAATGGCTCAAGGATGCAGGGAGAATGGGCTTCAGAAGCTGCTCTCCCTTTTCTAATATCCATGATTGCTGAAATCATGGGGCATTTCTGTGCAGGAGGTTCCATGCTGTGCCAGCTGGCCTTGCCAGACATTGGTGAACAGGCTGGATTCTGTTCAGATCTCACATTTGGGCCTGTTGATCTCCATGATGGGCCTGAACCAGCTTCCCAAGACCATTAACTGCTGCTTCCCCTCTACTGTGCATTACCTCTTCTTCTCACTCAAGTAGAAAAGATAGAGGGATTTTTAAGAATGGAAATGATGTAAGTGAAGGGTTACTTGGGTAAATCAACCAGCCAACAATTGTTAGGGAATAATAGTGAATAATAACTTGAATACCAAAAACCAGTGAGGTGCTAGTAAACTGACTCTCTGGGTAGAAGAAGCCCTAATGTGAAGAGTTTACAGATATCTTTGGTGTAAATACACCTGCTGTGGTACTATTTAATCTACCAAGCATGAGGTCAATGAATGTCAGAGTTGAGGAGAGATGGGTACAATCAGAGGATATGAGTTGGCTCAAGTCAGACCCAGTATACCTCTGCTAAATCGTATTTTTTAAATATGTTTTTATTGATTTTAAAGAGAGAGGAAGAGGGGAGAGAGAAAGAGAAACATTGATGTGAGAGAGAAACATTGATTGATTGCCTCCTGCACATACCTAGACTAGGAATAGAACCCACAACCAGGGTATATACCCTGACTGGGAATCAAATCAGTGACCTTTTGGTGCATGATACAATATTCAACCAACTGAGCCATGCTGGCTAGGGCCTGCTGAGTAATATTTTAATTGAACATGTATCTTGTGCCAATCACTCAACATACATGAACTCATTTAAGATATGCAACAACTCAAGAAGGCAGGGAATGTTATTATTGTGGCTTAAGGGGGTTAGTTCCTTTTTTAAATACCAGAAACAGAATCTAGGTGTATCTGATTTCAAAATTCATTCTTAACTTTGTGCTCCTGTCTCCAGACTCTGATAGTAAGTAGAGGCAGGAACAGCTCAGATGATGTCAGATAAGGTCCTCTTCAAGGTGAGGCTTTGCCCCTATGAGAGATGGTAGAAACAGACTTGCTTAAATGCCTATGATTTATTTTAAGACCTTTAATGTTTCTGTAATCCTAGCATAGTAAATGTTTTCTTATAGCCTTCTATTTCCAATATCATGCACTGTTAAGATGAGCCCCAAATTGAGCCAGCAGGGACAGAAAATCAGTAGCCACCTATGCCATGTTAGCCACATGAGATCCAGGAGCAGAGTTGAGTTTCTCAAGTGGTAAAGCCATGTTCATGGCAAAAATCCAGGTTTCCACCCTCTGCCATAAACTAAAACAACATAAATAATGTAATAATACACTGTCAAGAAGAAGCAAGTGGTGCTTTTTAGAAATGTTTTTTTAGCTTCCCAGGCCAAGAGGGAGAGTTGTTCCTGCTTAGCACAGAGTCCATATGCATCAGTGACTTTCATTTGAGTGACTCCATCGGTTGTATAAAATGATACTGTACTTATTGTCATAGATTGTTCATGATTAACATGTGTCCATGCCCACGGACTGCCCAAGCAGTGCCCTACAACTTTTTAAAAAATAAAGTACTAGTACTTTTGGGTTATTAAAGTCTCAAAATGGGGGAAAATAAATGTCTATTTAAATCTCATTCATTCCGCAAGATTTCCCATTCAAGTGGGAAATCAAGAATTAAAATTTTAATTCTCAAGTACACCCTTTTATGAGATGCTGTTTTGTAGTGAATTCTCAGCACTGGAAATACTCCTCTAGGTTCATGCAGTTCAGGGACATGAAAGCGTTAGCTTCTGCTCCCAGGGAGATTGCAGTGTTGCTCTGCACATTTCACGAATCCCTTTGAACCCAGCACCTGTGCTCAGTGAGCTACTCCAAGCACTACAATTCTTGCTTTGCTGAACCCATTCTGAAGGGTCAATGTCAATCTCACACCTGGTGACAGAAGTTTGGGGTACTTGCTAATGTAGTATTGGCAGAATTTTTCACCCTGGCTATAGTAATGACCT